GTATGGTTACCACAGTCTCTTTAGGAAGGAATATTCTAATTATCTTCTCCAGTGCTTATTTCTACTTTAAGTATACTTAATCTGAGAATGGTGTTGGGGAAACTATTCAATACATTGAACTAAGGCAATATGTTAAATTCTGTAATGAATACTTATTCTGTGTTCTTCCTTGAACATAGTTTCCTTGACCTCATAGTATATTTTAAAGCAAAGAAAGGGCCAGCCTGATAGCTCAGTGGACTAAAGCGCCTGGTTAGGCAGAGTGCACTGGCCAGGGTTTGAGACTGGTTGTGCTGTGCCGGCCCCGACCCTGCCCCTGCTTCCGGGGCACGCTGAGACAGTGATTGAGACTGGGAGCAGTGGTGCACACCTGTAATCCCAGCGCTTGGGAGGCTGAAAACAGGAAAATCTGGAGTCTGATTTACCTAGTGAGACTCTGTACCCCATAGACCCTAATTACAGAGAAAAAAAGAAAGCTAAGAGCAGGGCATATACATTATGGGGGCCGAGGGCTGAAGATGAAAGGCCGGGATTTATTCAGTGTAGCACACGGTTGTGTCGGCCTGTTTCTCCTAGCTCTTCTATCACTCGTAGTCCTGGTATGTAAGGGTGATCTACTGTGAGCAACTCCTGGCTTTTTAGGCTACCTTAAGGATGTGGCTCTTTCATACCACTATACTAAAAGTCCTTGGTTCTTTTCTCTGTAAATGACAGCGCACATTGATTATAGTTTAATATATGTCTTAGATGCCAAAATTCCAGGAGGATTTTAATGGCATAGTGTTAAATAACATTTTCGAAAGCAAATCACCATCAAGTTGTAATGTTTCCAGCTAGGTTGGAAAATGATCTTTTCAAATTATTAACATTATAATAAATAGCATAAATGGAATATATAACTTTTATTCTCAATAATTGAATTCTTAGGTCTCCTAATATGATTACCTCTAATAACTGCTACTTAATGAAACCTTTCTGTTATCTCTTGAAAGACTGTATGTAGTTGGGAGTGGCGGAGAGAATGGTTTAATGGATTAGATTAATTTTCCAAAAGTGTTGGTATAACAAGTATTGGATGAAAGTAGGTCATCATAGCTTGAATTAAATAATTAACAGTGAAAATGGGAAAAAGCATGAGTCAGAAAAACCTACCCTTCTGTGCTCTTCCCAGTTACTGATTTTTTAATGTGTTTTTCTTTTTTGGTATCAGGAATCAAACTTAGGACTCCACACTTGCCACACAGGTGCTGCTTTGCTGAGCTACATCCCAGACTGCTGCTGAATTTATTTTTTCTTTTTTTTTTGAACTTATTTTCAAACCAAGTTATATGCTAATAACATAAAGGATCAAAAAAGTATTGTTTAGGAAATCTTATTCTTTAGCTTCCAGATAGAAATCTTAAAAAAAAAAAAAAAAGTAATGTATTGCCTCACCAGACAGTATTCCACTTGTAAGCTTGCAATTTCAAGGTCTATTTTTTTTTTTTTTTAATTTTAGAGACAGTCTACAGGGTGTTCAGCATTTCACTACTAAATTGGACTTGTAGTGATCTGCCTGTTTACAGCCTCCCAAGAGCTGGGATAACAGGCGCGCACCACCATGCCAAGTCTCACCTGCTGTCTCAGCACACCCCGGGGGTGGGCCAGCACGGCAGGCCCAGGATCGAACCAGCGGGCTCTGTAACTGCTTGCAGTCGCCTTTTTTTCCCCCCATAATTTTATTAGAAATAAATAGCAATGAGACAGTTTCAAATCAAATTGGTAGGACAGTTCCAATAATTAACACATTGCATATTGCCTTCCTAGTGGTTGTTGTACAAGATGCAGACATGATATCCTATTTATAAACACTATTAAAACAAATCCCTCTATTCCTTGAATTAAGAGAATGTAACTATATATCTATCCTAACCATTTTGAATACACAGATACAAAATGGTCATTCATCTATATCCCCTTTTTTGATTTAGTTCCATCATTTAAATATTATAGGTGTGTGAACTCGGCAAAATATTCCAAAATAGTCCAGTAGTCCATAATAGTATTGGGTCTTCCACTTGACTGGCAATGTCAAAAGTTGTTTCCATACTCCCAAAATTGCTGTACAGATTTAATGCAATCCCTATCAGACTACCACCGACATATCTCACAGTCATAGAGAAATCATTCCTAAAATTTATCTGGAACCGGAAAAGACCTAGAATAGCAAAGGCAATTCTGGGCAATAAAGACAAGGCAGGTGGCATTACCATTCCAGACTGGAAATTATACTACAAGGCTACTGTGATAAAATCAGCATGGTACTGGCAATGAAATAGACCTGAGGATCAATGGAATAGATTAGAATATGCTGAAGCCTCTACAAACACACTCAGCCACCTTATCTTTGACAAAGAGGCCAAACATACTCACTGGAAGAAAGATAGCCTCTTTGACAAATGGTGCTGGAAAAACTGGCTCTCTACATGCCGAAAACTAAAACTTGGTGATTGACCCAGGTCTATGACCAAGCATAAGGTCCTGAGCTTGATTCCCAATTGCAATAAAATAATAAAATATAAAAAATAAATAAAATATAAAATAACCAGGAACAAGACACAGTTGTCCACTGTCACTATTCTTATTCAACACAGTACTTGAAGTATTAGCAGGCGCCATTAGGCAAGAAAAATAGAGAAGAGGGATAGGTATAGGAAGTGAAGTAGTAAAATTACTATTTTCAGATGACATCATCTTCTATATAAATATTTACCAAAAGTTTCTTAGAATAACCAAGTTCAGTAATGTGGCAGGATATAAAAATACACAAAAATCAATAGCGTTTCCTCTAATGAAATTGAGAAAGAAGGAAAAATACCATTCACTATACCACCATGAAAAATTAAAATTTTAGGGATTAACCTAATTAAGAAAGTAAAAGACCTCTACAGTGAAAAGTACAGTGCTCTGAAAAAGAAATGTAAGAGGACATCAGAAAATGGAAAGAGATTCCCTATTCCTGGATAGGCAAAACCAATATTGTCAAAGAGGCCATACCTTCAACATTAACATACAAATTTAACACAATCCCAGTAAAAATTCCAAAAGCATTCTTCAAAAAAACTAGAGAAAATGCTAAAATTCGCATGAAAGCAGAAGGCATCGCAGTTCTGGGCATGAAGGTATATTATATAGCTACTGTAATAAAAATAGTGTGGTTCTGGCATAAAAGCAGACATGACAATCAATGGAATGCAACAGAGGATGCAGAAAACCCCCTTCACATCCAACTGTTTGCTCTTTGAAAAGGGGACCAAGAACATATACTGGAGGAAAGACAGACTCTAATAAATCGTGTTAGGAACGTTGTCTATCCACATGCCGAAGATTGAACTAGACCCACATCTTTCACCATGTACTAAATTTAAATTAAAATGGAACAAAGAAGCTTATGTTGGCAGGATATATTTAACCTGCTGGAAGAAAATGTAGATAAAACTCTTGAAGTCATTGGTATGAGCAAGAACTTTCTGAGCAGAACCCCAATTGCACAGTCTAGGAATCAACAAATAGGATTATATCACATTAAAAACCTTCTGCACAGCGAAGAAAAAAAGGACAAAAGCCAGAATGAAAAGACAACCTATAGAGTGAAAAATATTTTTGTCATCCATTCCTCAGACAGAAGACACGTATCTGGAATATATAAAGAACTCAAAAACATTAGAATCCCAATATAAAAAAAAGACAATCAAAATATGGGCAAGCAAAAAAAGAATATGGACAAGCAGAATGAATAGATTCTATACAGAAATACAAATGGCCAGTAAGTGAAGAAATGCGCAGCATCACTGGCCACTAGAAAGATGCAAAGTAACAAAACATCGTGGTACCATCTTACCCCAGAATGAATGGCCATCAGCAAGATACCAAATACGAACAAATGCTACAAAGGCTCAGGAGAAGAAGCCCTTCTCCACTGTGGGTGGGAATGTAAAGTAGCACAGCTACGATGGAGGTCAGCGTGGAGACGCCTCCAACAACACACGAGAAATTCCACTGAACACAGGTATTCCTCCTCTAATAGTATCTTTACAAAAGAGTTGGAGATCTCATAACACATTCATACCCATGTTTATAGCAGCATAATTCATAATAGCTAAATCTCAGAAGCAGCCTACATGTTCACCAACAGATGAATGGATAAAGAAAATGCTGTACTCCAAACCAAGAATACTGCTATGCAGAAATCATACCTTATGTTTACCATCAATCCTACTTGAACCAAATAACATATTTAGAACTTATATGTTGATTAGTGGTATCACATACAGCACACTTATGTGTTAATGTTTGAATACTAAACTTGGTAGCTTTAGTCTACATAAATATGTTTGACTAATAACTTGTAGTACTGAAAAAGTTTATTTTACATGTAATATACTAACAAATTTGCAACTAGATAAATATGTTAATTAATATAGTGTAATTATAATTATTTTGCATGTAACTTGTGTGATAGTTTCATTATTTTACAGTTATAGCTTCTGTATCATCAAAAGCATTTGCAAAATTTCTACAATAGGTATCAACTAAGAATTCACTGAAATGGTGTTCATTGCTTAAGAGCAACTAATGTTATAGTGAGGAGACTTGCACTTTTTAGCCTATAATCATAGGCTAAATCATATGTAATTTTACCCAAGTGCAAAAACTACATGTATTAAAACATATATATATATATATATATATATATATATATAAATTACTGACTTACAACTAACAATGATAGACTAAAAAACTTGTGGGTATTGTCTAACTTTTGGGATATGTATTTTGCAGGGGAAAAAGAAGTAGAAATTATTTTTACAACTTGAATATGTTCTTCCATATTATACAAATTCTTTCACCAATTATTACACATTACTTGCGAAAGTTAAAGTTCTTCTATCATAATAGACCAAGGCAATTTACATTTAGCTTTTCTTATTCCCCCCTCTAATTATATTGTGTCGTTTCAGTTCTTCAGAAAATTTAGAGGAATTCTCTTCATCCAGTAACTGGTTACTTAATCAGAAGCACAGTAAGAAAAGGAGAAAAGACAGGCTAAAACTGAAATCTCCTTCTTTGACTGTCATGAGTACAGCAGCCCGAACAAGACCACTTCAGAGTTTCCAAAAACGAAAACTCTACAGATTGAGCCCCACTGTTTATTGGGCTCCCCAGGTAAGGTGATCTTTGGCAAACAGGAACAAATATTTCACCATCAGTACATTTTGTATACAGTGCATGTGGATAGGGCACAATTATTGAGAATAATTATATGTAGAAAACTTAAAAATACAGTATTAAATTATGCAGTAGATATTATCAATATATAAATGGAATTTACAAATTTTTAAAACATAGCAATGCACTCTGAATTTTCTCAAATCCTTAGGTTGTTATCATTATTCTTTGGGGCTGGGAATTGAACTGGGGCCTCCTGCATGTACCATACCACTGAGCTATGCCTAGCGTCCCCACTCTTGGTTGGAAAAATTATTTTGCCTGTGCTAATTGAAAAAAAATTTAAACATACTGGAAAGGGTAACAAGGAAATGGGGATATACTATCTATCTATCTATCTATCTATCTATCTATCTATCTATCTATCATTTTTTTTTTGGCAACACTGGGGCTTGAACTCAGGCCCTTGTGCTTGCCAGGAATGCGTTTATTCTACTGAGCCATCTCTCCGGCCCTATATATTTCTTAAGAATTGTTGTTTACATAAAATCTACACAACTGAGTTATTTTGGAAGAAATGAAACTTTTGTTTTAAGGTTTTATATTTCTTAATCCCATGAACAGTCCTCCTTTCCTCTTCTGAGACCTATGCAGTACACTTTTAGATGCCCATCCTTATACTAGAAAAATATCCTTCATTAAAATCATGCATTATGAAAAACATTTTTATTTATAAAAAATAAATATAGTTCTTTGAAATTCCCCTAGGTGGTATTACTTAATATTACTGTACTTGTTTCTGACTGTGACTACATTAACTATTTTAAAATACTTGCATAAAAATCAGTATGTTTGCTTTATTTTTGAAGCAAACTTCCAGTTTTGTTAAATCCAATTATAAATAAGAATGTGAATTTTCATGAATGGGTTTTATTAAAAGACTGATTTTTACTATATACTAGTTAAAATATTATTAGTATAATAATATTTTAACTAGTATATAGTAAAAATTCCTATTCCTCAGCTTGAAAATATTCTCTTTTGTTTTCTGTATTTAGTACAGGGTCTATAGGGTCTCACTGTACAGATCAGACTAGTAGTGATCCTCCTGTTTTCAGCTTCCTAAGTGCTAGGATTACAGGCATGCGCCACCATACCCAGTTACAATCGCTGTCGCAGTGTTCCCTGGGGCGGAACTGGCACAGCATGCCTAGTCCCTGTGCTGGCTAAGTAGGTGCTTTAATCTGCTGAGCTATCTGGAAAGCTATCTGGCCAGCCCTAAAATATTCTTTAAATAACTGTTTTATTTTGTCATTTAAAAGATGTTTCCCAAGTCAACTTATGAGGAAATGATTTTTAAAGTTTTGATATGTTACGTTATTTTTTGATCATTTATTTGTCTGTTTGTTTATTTATTTGGCAGAGCATCTTGCTATGCAACTCAGACTCATAATGATCCTCCAATTTTAGCCTCCCCAGTGCTGGGATTACAGGCAAACTCAGGTCCTTGAGCTTGCCAGGCAGGCACTTAGACCACTGAATTATCTCCCCAGCCCCATGTCACATTATTTTTATACAATAATTTTTCTTAACAGTTGCTGCAAGCAGTGGATAAGTAACAGTTTTGAAATGTAATTTTGTGATTCCTACTCATTAGTAGAATTGCCTAAAATATTTTACATATGCATATGCCACAGCAGTCCAACTGGAAGAGATCTACCGGTATAATTTAGGTGGTTTGTTATAAATATATAAAAGACTGCCCCTGGAAAAGTGAGCAGTTTTAAGACTGTAAGCAAACAAAGGTATAGACCACCTTTAATTTTTCCCATCTAGAAGACTCGTAATCTGAAATGTGGAGAGACAGGGAAATCCACAAAGTCCAAGCCAAGGTCTGCTTACCTGGAGCTGGAGCAGAAGCCACCATAACTATAACTAACTGCTAGGAAAAATTAAATCATAATCCTGGCAAACTGCATGAGGCTCGGTATTAACTAACTGGAGGGTGAGAAACTCTTGGAGCCACAGCTGTGGGTGGGAACCCACACTTCACTAGGTTCTCAGGAAAAAACCAGGAAGGACCTCTAGTGGCACTGGTGGGAGGGGAGCGTATCCACTGAGACTAGGCCCAGGGAGTCCCTAACAAAGACTGCTCTTAGGGGCGAAGCTTCCTTCTCTATTGCTTGAAGGAAGAACATTTCTCCCATTCCTATCCAAGTATCCTTCTCTCACCTAAGGGAACAGGGATGGAAAAACAAAAACAAAAACAAACAAACAAAAAACCCAACTTTGTTAAGATCACAGCTCAGGGACATAGAAACACTATAAAGGTGAGATTTAGTCATAAATATCACAGAGTGTTTCCCTTATCCTGTATCACATTCCCCACCACACCAATAGCTCCAGCAGGTAACAGTGGGTTACAGCTACATAGCATAGCCTTTCTGAGCAGTCATACTAAAGAAAGGCAGAACTAAACAGAGAAACAAAAACAAAGACAGTAGAGAATATGAAGTCTGGTACCTCCAAGCAAACGCTGAGCCAACCCACCTCTCAGCCAGATCAACACAACGCTGCAGTACAGGTTTATTTAGCTCAGGCTCTATTATGTGATCATGTTCACTTTTTACCAAAACCTACTGCATGCTAGGAAAAAATACACTCTGAGAAAGCAATTATGAGAGCACCCTCAAATATGACAAAGATATTACAATTATCTGACAAAAAATCATAAATAGGTATAATTAAAATGTTAGCTGCTTTATAGGTAAAGTAGAAAATGCAAAGATAATGTAAACAGAGGGATGGGAATTCATAAGAACAATAAAAAAGTTAATGCTACAAATTTTAAAACATTAACTCAATTAAATCAAGTAATTTTGATAGGCTTGAACCAAGGAAAAGCAGAAGTCACAGAACCTACAAGAAACAAGGAAGCACTTTCCCCTAGAGCTTTTTTTTTTTTTTTTTTTTTTTTTTTTTTTTTGCAGTACCCAGGATTGAACTCAGGACCCTGCACTTGCCAGGCAAGTGCTTATTCTACTGAGCTATCTCCTTGGCCCCTTAGAGCTTTCTAATGAAGTAGGACCTGGCCAACGTTTCAGTTTCTGACATCTGGCCTCTATAACTACTTCTGTAACTTTGGTTACTCAGTTTATGGTAATTTGTTATGGCAGCCCCAGGAAACTAGTACATAGTTTGGTATCAGGAAATACAGTGCTGCTACAACAAATATGTAAAACTGTGGAAGTGGCTTTGGCATGGGTAATGGGTACAGAATGAAAGAATTTTAAGGTGCATAATAGAAAAAGCCTTGATTCTTATGAGAGCTTAGAAGGAAGTGAGACTAGAAGAAAAGCTGCTGTTGTCTTTGAGAATACATTTATCTTCATGAAAGAGAGAGATTGATTATGGTAATTGGCTTCCAAGATTATGGATGCCCAGAAAGCCTGTGATATGCTGTTTGCCAGAATCAGACCCAGGAAAGCCGGTGGGGTAATTCATCCCAAGCAAAAAATCTTGAACCAAAGGAACAGAGAAGACCTCGTGTAACTCCTGTAGTCAAAAATGCAGAAAACCAGAAGCGCTGATGTCTGAGGACACAGATGGATGTCCAAACTCAAGAAAACAGAGAAAGAATTTGCTCTTCTTTCCTCTGCCCTTTGGAATGGGGCAGCAGTTGGAATAGCTTTGAGATCTACCCAGGCTTGTTAGAGCACAATTCTGGGTGTGTCTAGGTAGGTCCTGGAGGCTGGGCCTGGAAGTCCCTTTTTTCTTTGAAATTTTTCTCATGGTCTGCTTCTCAGCTGCCTTGAATTAAGCACCTTTGCCCCATCACAGTCTTGCCATGACCTTTCTATCTTAGAGGCATTTGAGCATGGACTGAAAGCCCTTAAACTGTGAGCCCCCCAACCCTCTCCTTTCAGGTTTTGGTGTCCAGTGTTGTGTCAGAGTAACTGGAAAGCTGATTAAAAAAAAAATTGGTACCAGAGAAGTGAGGTCATTGGTGTGAGCACAGTTGACCACTTGGTTCAGAGGTCCTTGAAATTGGTTTATGGGAAGAGTTTGGAAAGATTTGCAGATGCAACCTAGAGAAGCCTTAGAATACTGTAAGCAGAGGACTGATTGAACATGGCTGACCAGAGGGGGTGGTACAGGAGAAGCTAGAGAGGATTTACTGAGAAAGAAGGTATTTTGAGTCTTTCACACAGAAAATTAATAAAGAAGATGATATATGTCAATCCAAGCAGGCAAACGGACAACTGAAAAAAGGAAATGGTGCCTGTCCACCTGCTCCCACCTGTCACTCCTCTGGATAGTAGCTATCTTGATAGGGAGGAACCCCAAGGAGTCAATCTAGCATATCGCAACCAGATTTATTCTGAAAAGGCAGTGAGTAAGGCTGTGGCAATGAAGCCAAAAGTGCAGTGGAGACCCCAGGAAGTTTGAGATGCCAGAAGTGTGGAACATCTAAGGAAAGCTGCAGCCTATTAGTGGAACCAGCCCAGAAGAGGGGCTATGTGGGTATCAGACCACAGGAGTGGGGCTGGCCCAGCCAGTGGCTCTTACATCTCATCACCATGTCTCCTCAATGCCAGGTCTGGAGCTTTAATGTTTGCCCTCCTAAATTTTGGTCTCATCCTTTTCTATCCATTTAGTCTTCCTTTTTGGCATTAGAATTGATATCCTATGCCAGTGAACCATGGGATTACATAAGTTTTACAGAGATTCATAGCTAAGAGTTTGTCTTTAGTCTCAGAACATACTTGGACTTGAATTTATGAAAAATTCTGGGATTATTCAGACTTTGGAAAAGGGATTATTGCATTTCTGGTATAAGCAAAAATAAAGATGGTGATAGTACTCGTACGCATTTACTTCTGTGCCGGGTGAGAGATGGTTGGGGTTGACCAGCAAAGGGCACAACCCAGGTTTCTACACTGTTGTTATGTATCATATTTGATTGTGCTAACGATTATCAGGTATATAGAGATGAA